ACTTGCTACTTAGAATATGATGGAATATAAACAATATCAAACCACCATCTTGACAAAATACCTTGCCAAGTATGATATCCTCATTTTTCTTAGTACCAGTAGGCATTACAAAAATTCTACAACCTTCCCAAAGCATTGATTGGGTAGTCAATTTTTAAAAAATGTAGACATTATGTTAATGTTAGTGCAATTGTTCCAACTATTGAATATCTGAAAATAAACACACATTGGCCATGGAATATTACTGAGAGGGAGGGCTATATAATGGGTAAGAAGAGCACCAAGTACTTGACCCAGACGTCCTTGATTCAAATTTCAGCTTTCATTTAAGAGCTGTGTTGCCTTGAGCAAGCTACCAAGCATTCTAGTTTGTTTCCTCATCTACAAAATGGAGATAATAGAAGTCCTTACCTCACTGAGTTACTGTGAGTTCATTAACATCGACAGTGCCAAGATATAGGAAGCACAAGAAGCACACACTTTGTATAAGCTGTTACTATAGTTGGAGCCACACTCCCCATATTTGCCTTTTGAGTATTGCATTTGTGCAATGTAAAGGTCCCTGGTAGATCTTTCAGTTAGGATAAACATTGACACTGAGAATATCATGGGATACACATGGCATCAGTTTACCCAGAAGATTATAGGACAGGAACTACAACTTTCCAGGCAACATCACACTTTTGTCTCCACAGGAGTCCCAGCAGCAGTAGCTGGCATGGCAGTTCACACAAGGGTTGGGAAGCTGTGTTTTCCCTAGATGACAGCCAGGTGCAAGGAGATGAGATTCACATCAATGGGAGTGAAGTTCACTTACACGTATCATCATGATGCAAACATATCTGATGAATATCTTGTGTCTGGAATATGGGGTGTTAGAGTAGTACAGTATGAGTATAAGATATTCTGCTGTTCTGACACAATATAGATGAGAAACTTAGAAAATAAAAAAAGGAAAAACTAGCATGTCTTTCTCCCCACCCCACCCCACAGTATTCCTCTTGGCAACCAATAATTAAAATAGGGCCCTGGCCAATGTGGCTCCGTTGCTTGGGTGTCATCCTGTGCACCAAAAGGTTGCCAGTTTGATTCCTGGTCAGAACACATGCCCAGGTTGCGGGTTCCATCCCGGGTAGGGGGTGTGCAGGAAGCAGTTGATCAAGGTGATCCTCCCATTCTCTCCCTTTCCATTCTTCTCTTTCTAAACATCAATTTTTAAATATCTTTAAAAAATCCATTACAATAGGATTTTGACAGGGTTTTCCAGCAGACATTCTAGCTTGTCAGAGTTGTGGAAGCTTACATCACAGAAATTTAAATGTTGGATTTTGTAAAAAGATACAGATGGTCTATGTATATTAGTCACATGGAGAAAAAGTTGGCATTTTATGAGGAAACAGAAAATACCTTTGATTGTTGTTATGCTTCTTTTCTGTACCAAAGGATTGTAGACATATCTCTAAATAGGACTGTACCAAAGGATTGCAGACATATCTCTAAATAGGACTGAGGCTTATGTCTGAGAGCATATTTAAAACTGGACAAAACTGTACTGTAGCTTAACTGAAAGCACAGAGTACATATTACAGAAGCAAGATTGCAATAAAATAAGCTTCCTGTAGAAAGATAATATTGAGGAGGACTCTATCTAGATGGTCGTAATTTGGATTGTTTGCAAATACATCTTGCAGTTAGAGTAAGAGCTAACTTACTGAACATAATACTTTATATTCATTTAGATCCTCAAAATAAGAATAAAACAACAACAGAGGCAGAACTTCCCAATTTATGTTTGGACACAGACAATACTGAGGAACTTATGGTGTCATTAATAGACTGACAAGCTCAGGCATTTTGAAACGACACCAGTGTTGTATGAATAAGCACAGGTCACCAACACAGGGTGACTGTCTTCCTATTCACTATAGTAGGAGAACATATCTCTGATTTCTTTAGGATACGAGCCTTTAAATTAGGTCAAAAATCTCTTTGAAAAGTTACTTAACACTTTGGCCCCTTTATGGAACAGGGAGAGCGAAAATAGGAAGCTGTGTATATGTACCTGCATGCATATTTACGTATTAACCTTAGGAGGTTTAAAGCCTTGGAAGCCAATTTCATTTTCCTTTGAAACCTTGATTAAGAACACTTCATGTGGATCAGACAGGAATGTCATCAGATATTAGGAAAAATGGCTCCTTCTACGGTAAACGTTTCAAGTTACATTTGCCTAGAAGAATTTTCAGTTGTTGAACATGAGTTGTAATGAGTTAAAAAAAAATTGGGGTCCTGGGTTTTGTAGTCTGATGACTCTACCGGGCCTTTCAAGTAAATTTACGTTCTTGTCCTGCACAGGCTAATTGACTGAATTGTGAAACTCAGAAGAACTTTGTTCAATAAGTTTAACAGAGTCTCTAATATGATGCATTACCCTACTCCAATTTACTATTGATTTCACAGAAATAATTCTGTTGAATCCTCCCTTTGAAGGATTTTTCATGAAAGTAAACCTGGATAAAAGGATAAAAGGACATGCATACTTTTTTGCAGACATAACATTATGCAGTTATTTTCTGTGAGTAGGTACGACCCACTGTTTGGGCCTCCAGCAAAATTCCCGACCATTTGCTAGGCTTGCCTGTGCTCATTGCTTCTGTGGCTAGCGATTTGGTAATCGCAGAGAGTCATGCATCTTAACACACATAGCTCTCAGACCCTGAAGAGCCTTACTGAATGTCTTATAAGCTTTCCTAACGAAATAACAGTATTCTCCTAGCAATTGTCCTAATCTGTCTGCAAAACCAGTCTTCATGCTCATAGGGTGATACTTCGTCCTGTGGGTGTTTGAGTCACCCAGGGAGGTTTACTATGGCCATTTTGGATTTCAAAGTAAACGCATTTGTAAAATTCCAGCATAAAGGATCACAACGCTACTGACAGGGCTTTGTTGATGCTGGGAGGAAAGAAGACAAGGCACAGATTGCGCGTAAACGTCCCCTCTAGATTACGGGTTTTGCACAGCCTTTATATAGAAAAATCAAAAGGAAATAAATACAATCCATACATACCAAAGGTTAATCAGTCAAAAAGAGGACTAGGGAATATATGTTTTTGTACAGGAAAGCCCCAGCCACTGGTGACATCCTGAACAGCAGGATCTTCTTCTGCAGAAGGCTTTATGCTAATACAGAGCCCTCGGGTAAACCAAGTATTTTCATGTTTGAGAGAGAAATTTACCAAGAATCCTCAACACTATTCATGCCAATTCATCAGTTAGGAAACACTTTCTTCTTCCTATGGTGAGATTGGAAACAACTTTAAAATCTAAATGGGTTCTGGGAGGTTTTAATGAAAATTATTAATTATTAAAGTAGTGATTATAGCCTACAGTTTGCCCATAGAGCAATGTTAATAACAATGTGTGTTATTCTGTTCAAAGTCCATTGTCTTTTGAGTTGTGAACAGGTGTAGAAGCTGTGTCGTCTGAAGTACATAGGAGTGCTTTATGAAATCCTGTTTAATGTTTGCCAAACATTTGTCATTCCTGCCAATGAACAGATTTTACATTTCTGGCTTCAATACACAAAAAGACTTAAAGATGTGTAGTTGTCTAGTATTACTACCTTTCAAATTACAAATTTTTGTTGTTACCTTTTCAAGAATTTCAGGCTTGGCATATAATGGAGCTAATTAAATTTTTTTCCCCTAGGAAGCAGCCAGCCAGACCACTGCCCCAGGCACATAACCTCACTTACTACTTCCCTTCTCTCATTTATTCTGTATGTGAGATGAGACTCTGCAAACTGCAAAGGTAGAGTACTCAGACCAGGCAGCTGCTGATGGATCTTAGTAACTACAGAGTAGGCGTTTGAGTCTCAGCCCTGACAGCACACATCACAGAGAGGCGATGCTGAAGGCATATCTTTCGGTCTTAGTTGGTTGTGGATGACAATGTGTCAAACGGAAATTATGGAAGAGGCATTAGTTGTATAAAAATGAACTAACCTGGCTTAGCTGTAAGGTATTTTGCAAGATTCTAGGAGTACCACCCCATTTTCCCATGAGATTAATTTGTGAACAACTCAGACAACATAGTAATTAAAAATGGAATCATGTGGGGAAAGGGTTTCTTTTAGTAATGTCATTAATGCAGCTTCATGATTAAGCCATTTTGTCCATCTTCACAAGAAGGGGATTATTCTTAAGCATTTAAAAATAATTAACTATTTAGCAGTCACCCTACTAGGTTCTTTACACATGTTATTTAAATTCAATAAGCATTTTTTTCCAACTTAATATTTCAGGAAACCAGGATGAAACTGGTTAAAAGATTTGCCCAAATTACCAAATGGCAAGCTAGGAATTTAAAGCCAACTTTGACTGAAAAGCCTTGTCTTTCTTTACTAACACACTGCATGATACATTGAAAAGTTGTGTTTAATATAGATAATTTTAGGTGAAATTACTTGGGAAATTTTCATGAAAGTAAGCAGTATTCATGCATGTATACATTTGTATGTGTGTATGATATTTATCATAAACTATCAGTTCCCTGAGAGGAAGAATTTTTAGTTGTTCTTATAAAATTATATGTAATATAGCCCTTATTATGGATAGTCATATGTTATAGAAGGGCCTAGTATCACCCCTGCAAAAGGAAGGACCATTACAAGGAAAGCAATGGCCATCTGGACCTTATAATATTATATAGAATTTATAGAACCCATTTCACTAAAAACCAACAGAAAGAAATCAATCTAACATATCATCTTAAAAGATAAAATATGGATTTGTGCAGAAGATAAATAAATGCTCAAATATAGATGGATAGACTGATGTAGATAATTTCACACACACACACACATATATCTATATGTAAAATTAGAATGAACTCATTCATTTCTGGTATAAAGTGGCGCATTTCAGTTTCAATAACATTAAATCTCTTTAGATTCCTGATTGCACTCTTGACTAGTATTTCTTTCTTTTTCCTCCTACAGTTGGACAGCGTCACCTCCCTAATCCAAGCAGCCAAAAATCTAATGAATGCTGTCGTGCAAACAGTGAAAATGTCTTACATTGCCTCAACCAAGATCATCCGAATTCAGAGTCCTACTGGGCCCCGGCACCCAGTTGTGATGTGGAGAATGAAGGCTCCGGCAAAGAAGCCCTTGATTAAAAGAGAGAAGCCAGAAGAAACTTGTGCAGCGATCAGACGAGGCTCCGCAAAGAAAAAAATCCACCCAGTGCAGGTCATGAGTGAATTTAGAGGAAGACAGGTCTACTGAAACCACTATTTTACTCTATGTCTATATTAAAAAGTCCTGGCTAAACACACTGCTTTAATTTTACACTTGATTCATACTGTAAATTCACTGTCTTTTAGAGTTTAAGCCACAAGTAATATAAAACATTGAAGGTGGAACCAACATGAGCACCCTATATTTAGGGCCATGTTATCTCTGTATGCCTAATACGTAATCAATATACGTTTGTTGAATGAATGAAAACTTCAGGTGCCATTCAGCTTTTCCCATCACAGAGAATATCTTACATTCACTACCAAATGAACATAGGAGATTCCAATGAGTCTTATTCATTGGTAATAGCTTGATTACATTCACCCTTTTACTTTTAAATTTAAAAACTGACATGAGCTCTTGACTTGGTTTTCAATTAAAAACAAAAGACCTCATAAAATATTTTCCCATGAAAACTTTCCTTACTTGGCCTGATCTGACACAGATGTGTGATCCTTGCTATGGGGGGGGGGGATCAATATCTACATATCTCTGTCTACTGCCAACTGATTAGGGTGACATCTATCAGAAACTAACCAACCTTGAGCAGTCAAGCTGCATCCTAGATTTCTAAGATCAGCATTGATTATTAATGAAGCAATTCATTAACATTATAAAAGTTACAATGAGTTTTGATGCCACAAATGCGCCTTCTAGGATCCCATTGTGTTTAGCAGTTCTGCATGTTGAGAACTGGGTTTAAGTGAGTCCATCAGAATTTATACATGGAGGGAGAGTTATTACCCACTTGGTGAAATGGGACATCTAACTACTAGGATATCCCTGAGTGAATTATGCCAACAGAAGTGTTAAGCAGTTCTGCATGACTCTAAAATTTCATTTGTATCAGCTTGCAATTGTAATTAAAAGGAAACGGCCAGTTTGAAAAACCTTTGACATTGAGTAAGATATAACTGTAAAATGTATCATTGAACTATGAGGTAGAGTTCATGGCAATGTAGCTGGAGTGATTTTTAATAACATTCTTTTACATAAAAGTCATTGAGGTCATTTTGTCTAACTGTGCTCCCAGTGCACAGTCTCAATCATTGTGCTCATCCCTAGTTGAGTTTGTAATGAACTTCATAATAGTCTCAGAGTCCAGGGCATTGCTTGTAACTCTCACGCTTTCGCCTTTGCTCTCTGATGGAGTTGAATTTCAGTTACACTTTTTCTCATGCATAGAGCCACCATTCACAGAATTTTAAACATGGGCTCCCTATTCTACTTTATTAATGTGACACTACAATTGTAACGACACTTTGTAAAACATTGCCAATAACATATTATTTCAACAGCCACCTCATCATAGTTTGATAAAGTAAAATTCAAACATGCAGCACCAATTGATATTGGGATGACTAGTCTGAGTAACTCAAAGGAAAAAAATGGGGAAAAGCATTTATTTAATAGGTTATATTAACTATGAGGAAATGATAACTTTTATTCTAATGAATTATTTCATTTTTCTAAACTTTTGAGTTGCCTGGGCTCAGCACATAAACTTCCTAGGAGGTAACAGCAATAAGCTCTCCCCTGTTTTGAATTATGCACTGGCCTACAATAATTATTCTGGACAGAACCCACTCTCTAAAAGAGAAGGCAGTGCAGGAAGGAATTAAGAAGTTAAAAATAATTCTATGTTCTAGAACTACCTTGATAAATGAAGCAAAATAGTTTCTTTTGTTGAAATGTTACCATCACTTTCTACTCTGAGTAAACATTACAAGAGTGACATCTATAACACATCCTTTTCTCAGATAGAAGTGCAAATTTATAATTTAGTTAAGAAAATAAATGTTTAGCCGTGGCCGGTTTGGCTCAGTGGATAGAGCGTCGGCCTGCGGACTGAAGGGTCCCAGGTTCGATTCTGGTCAGGGGCATGTGCCTTGGTTGCGGGCACATCCCCAGTGGGGGGTGTGTGGGAGGCAGCTGATCGATGTTTCTCTCTCATCGATGTTTCTGACTCTCTGTTCTTCTCCCTTCCTCTATGTAAAAAAATCAATAAATAAATATATATATATATATAAATGTTTAAGATATCACCATACTGCTAGGTGCACATCTTAGTTCTTAAAGCCACATGCTCAAGAATCACAACAGTCCCCTTTAGAAAATGTAATGTCCCTTTGATCCTGCCTCAGCTTTCCACAGGTTGGAAGATAGAATGAGGCATTGGGTGCCAAAAGAAGAGGAGTAACTTGAAATTATTCAATTACCAAATATCCTCTGTATCTTTAAAATAAACCGACTCCACACAAAATGAGACGTGAACAAGGCCTCCTCTTCAAAGTAGGTAGATTTCCGACTTAGCTCAAAGTAAACAACTTATAATTAAAACTTATTTTGAAAAAAATAAACTTGGAAATTAGCCCAGGAGTAAAGCCACCTGTAGTAATCAAAGGTGTAATAAGAACAGGATGCATAGAGCTGAGAAAGGCATCTGTCTGCCTGAGTGAATTTTTGCAGTTGGGCAACATTTCAAGATTAGTCCAATTCAAATCTGCTAATAATATAAGTGCTAATACACAGCAAAATACTAACAAACCTTTGCATTACAAAGCATAGTTAAATGAATCTAACCAGTATGTATGAATGCATTAGATAGCTTTCTATTTAAGCACTTCTTCTCTAGGGGAAAACTTTAATGAGAGTGATACCTTGTGGCCCATCTATACACCTTTTCAAATCACATCACAAAGATCAGTGCTTCATCCTGTTCATCAAAGCTCACTTTTTCTTTTATTGAAATCAATTTATAGAGGAAACAAAAACTCCTTGAGGAGGAGAACAGGGTTTAGACTACCTACAAGGACAGTTTCCTCCTGCTTAGCCACCAGCATAATTGTCAAACATTAGACTGGAATCAGAATGATAAGTTAGAAAATATCCAAGAAATCATAATCCACTAAAGATTTTTATTATAAAAACTTGAAGGTTTTCATTAAACAGGAAAGGCAAGTCGTATGAATTTCTCCCTTTTAATCATCACAAGTGAAAATTATTGGATTAAAATATGTGTTTCTTTCTAATTCGGTTTCTGGGTTATAACTCAAATGGGTCATGAAAAAAAAAAGTAAACAATTTTTTGTATAGTAATCTGTTATATATCCCCTTCCTGTTTGTCTTATGGCATGAGTGAAAACTATAAATGCATAAGAAAATACAATATTCTTAAATGTGCCTTCTGACTTTTGCACATTGCTTTATTTATTAGTATCAATATAAATATATGTGTGCCATAAAATCACTTCTGTTTAAGGGGTAAGGTCCAACATAGCTACACAGAAAGGCTCATCCTTGCACACTTAATGGCTTCAAAGGAAGTCAGTTTTTAAGTCATACCACAGCAAGATAGTGACTACACAGTGAAGTGCCCAATTTAGTCCTCACACCCAATAATTAATGCTCCTCAAATTCAGTGAGGAGTGGCTGAAAAGCCTAAGAACAAAGGAAATATTTTCAGTGGCCTTCACTTTCAAGGTGGTCCTTTCATCTCACCCATCCCTGTGCTAGGTATCCTATTAACTGCTGATACTTTCCACCAGAATGATACAGGACTGCTCATCCCAGGCAATTACCTCCAATTTATGTCCTTCCCTCTTGGCCCATGCACCGAAAGTATCTCTCATCTCCTTAGGTGTCTATGCTACCTACAAATTGATAAATAATTTCTATAGTGTTCTAGTTAAAAGTATGAATTTTAATTCCCAGCAGCATTATTCCTTTTTTTGTTTCTATTCCAGAATATATTCTTATTCCTTTTGGTGTGAAAGGCACACTTCCATGCTAGGGATTGTGGTTCCCATGGATACAGATGTCTGTACAATAGTTGCAGAATGGGTGGAATGAGATCTGAGACTTTTCCTTGTGATATTTATCATTCGCTGGTGAACTCATTGCAGAATTGCCAGCTCGTTTCAATATCATTTTAAGTAATTCTTTAGGTCAGCAAAGCAGGCATCAGAATATCAAGTTGAATGAAATGTATTTCTTTTGTCAGCTTGTTTTCTCCCAACCAACCTGCCTATTGTGTATTTAGGAATCAAATAGCCATTTTTTTGGTTTGGGAAAGACAGAAGTATTTGTTTGACTTGATCAGAAAATTAAGGAGCACATAGTCAAAGACTATAAATGGCATTATTATATTAATAACTATTTTTAAGTAAATGAGGAAAATATTATGACTTGAGAAATTTATATTTATATATCACATACCAGGAATCAAAACTTATTTAATAAGAACCCTACAGCACTTCGTTTGTCATAATTCTCTGTCCATACCATTATAATATCTTTAGTATTAGTATTTTACACGTTACTACCAAATCCAATAGGCCTGGCTTGTCTATTAGAAAAGAAAATATGGATGTTATTAAAATCAAGTGTATGCAACTAAAGATGTCCTTCTTAAGGTTGTAATACTATCCTAGACATCTAAGTGAGAGCAAGAAGAATTAAGTTTTTAAATTATTTTTGTCATTTTTAACCAATTCACATGAACACAAAATATTTTCTATTATAGCAAAAGAAATAATAGTTTACAGCATTAATGATTTCTCCTAACTAGCAGGATAGAGACTATCACTTAACATTTCAAAAGAAGATAATTAATACTAATTGAGAACACCATTTCCAAATGGAACCCAACCTTACCAGCAACCTGTCTACAGGCAGTAGATGGTTGGTAGGGCTGGCCTTATGTAGATCCTGGGATATTTCATGGCCGCAGTCTGCCTTATGCCATCCAATAGTCCCCATTGGTTTATGGGAACAAACACAAGGATTGACTTTCAAAATTCATTTAAAACGTTGGAGAAAAAGCAGTAAAGACTGAGCATTTCTAAAGAAATATGGGTAAAAAGTGACAGAGGTAAGGGAGGGTGTAAGAAAGGTAGTTGGCAAGCAGAGCCTAGGAAGGAAGAGTTTTGGTTCCATGAAGACCAGGCAGCCTCCTCCTGAGGAAGAGGGATATGATAGGGTACTTGTCTTTGGTGGTTTGTGTGAAGTCATGTAGGAGGCAGGAGGATGAACTATATAATAGCTGAGAATGATTAATATTGTGTGAAAGATGAGAAATGGAAATTCAGCCAGTTTCCTAAGCTGATAATGGGTGAAATTTTCCCCATTGTCAAGAGCTAAGCAGGATAATCACACATTTATATATTTAACAAACATTCGTTGAACAACTAGGATGTCCAGGCACTACTTTGGTTCTTAGGATACATCAATAACAAAACAGTGATCCTAGCCCTCCTCTGCTAGTTGTGTGTTAAATGCTCTTACCTTAATAAATTTTCTCAATAAC